ATATTTCCCCTCAGTTGTCATAGGGGAGGTGATATCTCCATCAAACAAATTAGATGTGAAGGAAGCGCTGGCAAGAATGCAGCAGGAATATCCTTATTAAGCACTTGGCTCAGAGAAAGGTACCAAACAAAGTTCTGGACTCATTACAGATACAACAGATGGAGCAGCAGATTTATACAGATATTTCCAGCTAAAAAAAGAACAGTTGTTGTTATTGTTGCTTTTTTAAGCTCCAATATTTACTGCTGATTTTCTTGTAGTTAGATTTTTTCACTATTTAAAAAAGTGAAAAGGGCACCTGTCAACGCCGTGTGGCCTATTATAAACATTGGGTTGTTAAAAAGGTATGACAAGCCAAACCTGATTTCAGCCACTTTGAATTTATCCTTGAAAACTGTAATTACCATTGATTAAAAACATAGTTTTATCCATCCCGCCTTGAGCAGACTGTTCCTTTCTTACCCAAATCCAAACTGATCCATACTGTAATAGTGCGATGAGAAAAAAAAGCCACCCACCAAGTTCTAGCTTTCTGTTTAAATAATGAATGTCTGAAAACATGGTTTGTTTTTGACTAAATTTAAAATGTTTTTATTGATAATAGGTAGCTTTGATACTTTCTCTTACATTAGTTTCACAGTGAAGGGAATTGTCAGCCCTGAAAGGTGAAGCTGACTAATGGTGTGTTCAGTGATGGTAGAGAAGATGTGATTTTAGACTTTTGAATTTTGCACTGACAGCTTTTAATGTGTTTTTTTTTTTTTGTATATGTCAAAAACAAAACTGTTTTGTACAGCTAAAAGAAAAGCATGCCATTAGACACAATTTAGTTAATCAAGATTGCTGTCTAACGAGATCCTATGCAGGACAGGAGAGTTTCAATTTAGTTCAAGGAAATTTTCACAATAGAATCTGAAAAAAAACATTCATTGAAACTGCGTTAAACGGACTAAGCTAAAGTTTCTGTAGGTTTTCCCCCTCTCTTATTGAAACTGAGCTTTTGCTGTTGGGAAGCTTTTCCCTTCCTTCAGCCAAGACCGGGCCAATACTGGCCGCTCTGTTTCTGATAAGTGACCATTTGTTACACCAGAATCCCACCCTGGAGGCTGAGCTGAAAGGTCTCACTCAAAATAGTTTCCAGGACAGAAGCTGTTTTGTATGAGAATAACAGCTCAAATGTGTAATTTTTTTCAACATGCAGTTGTGTTGCAATCTATTGACTGAAATCTTAGTGAAGTTTGGTTTTTCTAGGGTATTTAAACACGAAGATACAAATCTTTAAATGTGATATTATTTTATTTTTATTTTGCTATGTTTATATGAACAATGCAGAGCTGTGATTTTCTTTTAGGGCTAAACGCCAGTTTTTCGAGGGTGCAATCCTTAAAATGGGCAAAATACGTCCTTTGTCTTTCCCATTTCCCTTTTAATGAGCAATTTTATTAAGGTTGACATTTTTGACCATTGGCATTATAAAGCAAGACACAGAGCCAGTGTAGTGACATCAATTAAAAAGAAGACAAAATCTTTTACATATTCTGTTTTCAGAGCCAATTGGTTTTAAAGACTAAGCTGTTCCACTCATGTTCTGCCGCTCTCCCTTTTCTTGGGACACATACTGATTCAGTGACATGAGTACATCTGCACTACATTGATCAGCAGATCTGCATCTCCTTCTAATCTAGCTGCACATCTGCTGCTGATGAGCCAAACAAAAGAATTAAACTTCAGCAGATTTTACTACTCTCAGCTAAATTGTTATTTCATAGGGTTTTGTTTTTTTTGTCCACGGGGATAACAATATGGATTCAACACATAAAGACTTCCAGGTCCTATGCAGATTAAAAAAACAAAAAACAAAAAAGGAAATCTAAACTTGGCTTAATTGCTTTGGGATAAAGTTCAAGGGTAGAATCCTGGTAATGAATCATTGCTCCGTTCTCAATGGTTATCATCTCCGGATGGAGCTTAAGATGGAGCGAGTGTTAAAGGGTGGGGGTTGGATGGAAAAGGAACATTTGGGATTGCCGGGGTGGGAGCAGGAAACAAACAGATAAATCTGAGTGAGGAGATAAAGAGAGAGTTGGCTAGAGGAAAATACATTAGAAACTCAAAGTGAAGACTTTTTTTGAAACCTAAGCCCATTTACAACAAATACTCGGTATTTTAAGGGTAAAAACGGCATTTCTTTTGTTTACTTTGGCGTTCATGCAGATAGCAGAGATTATGAAACAGTTTTAAACCATCTCTGGCATTATCTGTCCTCTTAGATTTTTAGGCTTGTAGAAAATTATCAAAGTTTTGAGATCTATATTTAAATGCTATGCCTGTTTTTCTCATTTTAAAATGCATACTTTTACTTGAAATTTGACCTAGGTCATGTCCGAAGCTGTTTTCACTCATGTTGTCTAATGTCTTTTCTTCTTCTTCTGGTTCTCTCTTCCTGCTGTTGCAAAACATTTCATTTCCTGAATAAGGCCAAAATATCAGCTTTTGCCTTTCACTGCTGTTGACTTTGCTGACAAAGTCTTTAATCTCTCACCTCTGGTTTCAGGTATTCCAGATTCCAAAGAGCATTAGTGAAGTTTTAATATATATACATATATATTTAACAATTAAGGTTTTTTCAGTAATATTAGACCATTACTTGTAAGATTGACATTTTTTTTATTTAAAGTGTGGGATTTGTTTTGTTGGAGATGCACAGTGGTGCAATTGAGTGAACTGTTGCAAGAATAGGGTCCTGGGTTCTTGGATCTGAGAAAAAAACATCCCCTAAGCATGCTACTAACACCACCATGTCTTGTTCCATTACAAATGCCAAATACATTCACATGAAATATGTACTTCTTTATTTCAATTTAAAATACTTTATTGTAATGGAAGTAACATGTTGTAACTGATGTGAAAAGGTTTATAATGGTAGTTTGTTACACTGATAGTCACAAGTTGCACTGGTTCATAATCAGGGCTTTCCAAGTAAAATACTAATGCATACCCCAGTTTTCAGAGCCATATTATGAAACCAAGTTTTGTGACATAATATATAACAAAAATTAAAACATTGAGGTTACACTTTTGCAAGGGGCTGTAGCTGCAGAGTATTTATAACTGTGGGAAGTTTATTTGTCTTAAAAGGATAAGAAGTTTTTTGAAAGTAAGAATTTTAACATTCATCTATGTATATAAATGTACTTCAAGACACTTGAGAGGACTTTATATTATTTAACCAAGACCTAATGGCAAAAAAGCACACTCTTCTAATTGGTTGACAAACAAAGTTTTCACATTTTATTTAAAAAAGGTAACTTTTTATGGTTTTAACAATACAGGCCTTACAATGAACAGGTCTAATAATAATACTGAATGGCAAATAAAGATCAACTCTCAGATAATTTTTTGAAGACATAATAGTTTTTCCTATACTGCCCTCAACTTCATGGTTTGTCAAAACGCTTTGCAAAGATAAGGCGTCAGAAATTACAGCCCAACCGCAGTAATTCAATGCTGGACCCTTTGGCAGCTTTAACTATATTGTAAATGAATTTATTAAGAGCAAAAATTTAACTTTGAGGTTTTTGTTTCTTTTATCTCAGTGAATAAATCTTACATTTGAAAATCATATAAATTGTGGAACTATTCATCTGCCATGTTTGTCAGCAAGCAACTGTCCGCTTAGTTACACATTTGCACCCAGGTGGAATCCACATCTTAATGCATAATAACAGATGCATTAAGTATAAACCAGTTTTAAGGTCCAGAGAAAGCCAAGTTTAAACCATGTGAATGTATAAAATGTAGACACACAGACTTTATTATTATTATCAAAGAAGTTTGAACGTTATAGCTCTCTGGGGAAGTTGGGTAAAAGGAGTCTATCTGCAGTAGTACTCCCTTAATTTTGCAGCTTTGAACCTACCAGCTTAAACTGCTCTTTATGCAAATTTCAGCTGAGATTCTGCAGGTCTTAATTCCTACTGTAAGCTGTAAAATGTACCTTAATTCATTTAATGATGGTTGTTTTTTAAGGATTCTTCAGCAAGTCTTCAGCTCAGCCCAGTTAATGGAAGCTGACATTCACAGATGGAGATAAATTGCTGAAATAAAAAAGTTGTCGGTTCTTTAGTGGTTTCTTTAACAATTTTTTTTTTTTAAATCCGAACATGGATCTGTTTTAGAGGTCACTTATCTTGTTTGCCTTTGAACCAAAAGTCTGGTTCAAGAATGGGTAATGGCTCTTTTATAATCATAGCAAAAAAAGATAAAAAACAAAAAGAAAAAATCTGTTTTACTGCTGGTGCTTCTATGGTTAATTTAGCAATGTAGAGAGAAAAAAAGTTTGATTGGTTGGGCTGCACGCTGGAGTCAGAGCTCTAGTGTTTCACAGAGTTAGAGGTCCACCCCTCTGCATAGCTCCAGCCCCTTCATCTGGTTCCATTTAAGGCCCCCAGTGCCGACTCTTATGATTGGCTTGCACCACCCCCCTGCTCTTTCTTCAGCTCCAACCCAACTTAGGAGAAGGAGGCTTTTTAGCAGATGGTTTATTTTCCAAAGGAAACTATTTCTCTCTCTGAATCCTCTGTCCTTTCCAACTGGCTTCAGCTCTCTCTTCTGCATCTCCTTCCACTCCTGCCCTCCTGTTGCCGTTCCTCCTAATATTACGTTTGCATAGCTACCTGCATCTGATGACCTGGACAATGATATCTTTTACTACAGTAAAACATTATGGATTTATCCTCGTGATGGCTTAATCATTTTACTCTTTTTGGAGCTTTTCTTTTTGTAAAACTTTGACACCTCTGTAGCCCTTGATGCTGGGCTAGATGGGGATGCATCTCTATGGCTAGACTGTGGGGAAAATGCACTGAACCCTGTGAAAATTACGATTCGCTGAGCTTTACATACAGAGTGGCCTATGGCACAACGGGTGGCCAGTGGTCGTTCTCGTGGACCTATGGCTGGCAGCTGGCTGACAGCATGTTTTTTTCCATCAACACCAGGTCTGGATGCTTCAGACCCCATGCTCCTGGAACAATACGTGGTGGTAGCCAATTACGAGAAACAAGAGCCTGCAGAAATCAGTCTACAGGCGGGTGAGGTGGTCGACGTCATTGAGAAGAGTGAGAGTGGTGAGTAATCAAAACACAAGGGGCCATGTGTTGCTACATGTATGTCAATTGCAAACCAACAGTTCATCAAATATTGTGTGCTTTTCTCCAAACTCAATCCTTTCACCCATTTCCATAAAATTTGTTGGTTGTTTCTCAGCCCCATCTGGAGGCTCACTTTGGCTATAAGTTATCCCTGTTTTTTTCTTTTTTTTGTGCTGGTTTTGGCTGAGAGTCAAAATATTGCCTATAGGATGAGGAATGTCTTCCAGACTCATATAAATTATTCAAACTCTCTTTAATAGAAAGCCAGAAAGCCATTTCGGTTTTACAAATGCCAGCTGCAGAGAGAGTCCTTAGTCAGCTGTTTAACCTCTGGAAAGAGCACAGAGACAGACTAAAGATGCTGTTTTAAGGTTCATGTAATTCAGTTCGACAGTTCTCAAAGTTATATGGGTTGCTTACATGCTGATGCACCTCGCATTATTTAATGTGACAAATATGTTTTGACATGTTCAAAAAGTTGCTTCGGTCTTCAATCATAACAGATACCAATAGCTACATGCAGCTATATTGGAAAAACAAAAAACAAAACAAAAGATGGACTAATCTGAATTTTGCGGCAAATTTCCAATATGTATTTGCTAAACCTTTTAGGTGCTGATATCAATGCCGAATAAATGTTTTAAAAAGCAAAAGGAACACCATTCAGGTTGCTTTTTCCTAGCCTTCCTGCTCTCATTATTGATTTATATTAGTTGAAGTTGATCCATGTGGAAGAGATCAGTCACTATAAAACAGGGTTTTACAAAGTCAAATTGTCACTGGAGTTTACAATTTAAACTGTCTTCAGCATTCTGGCTTGGTAATTAACAAGGCGACATTCTTACAGCCATGCAACAGTTCTGTGCTGCTAGTGGCCTGCCATACATCCCCAACTGAATTGCTGGCTCATGGACTGGGTGGGTGAGTGGGTGGCACCAACTCTGTGTTAAAAAAACACTATGATGGAGGGAGCTGAGGGTTGTCTTTGCTTCATCTTGCTTTGTGTCAACAATGAATATAATAACAAAGTCTTTGCAGGGCCACACGCTGCTCCCACACCTCTCTGTTGTGTATCTTCACAGATGTCAAGAAACAGACATATGTTACAACTGATATCTTTTTTAAAAACTTTTTTTACATTTTCATTTTCAATTAACTTGAAATAACATATATTTTTTATTATTTTTCTGGGTAAAACCAGATAAAAACAAGAGTTATCTTTGCTCATTAAAAAGTCTACATGAAAGACTCTTATTAGTTTGACCTCTTTGCTTCTATGTATTTTGTGTTCACTGTTGTGAAAAATAAATTTTCAGTTCCTGATCAGGGGTCTGTTTCATGAAGCAGATTTAACAAATTCAGATTCAAATCCACAACTCTAAATTGATCCAGCCAAAAGTCGGGAACACTGAGTGTTCGGTTTCACAAAGGCTGCTATAAATTAGTCCAACCAATTTTAACTAGGCCCACTCGTGCACAACAAGTATGAAAAGCCATTATCATTGGAGCACAATTCGATGAGTCACCATGGGACAGGAAGTGCATGTTTCACCCCACTGGAACTAAAGATTTTTTTTTTTTTAACTTTTTATTTAGTATTTTTTCAAATTTACATTAAAACAAACAAACAGACAAAAAAAGAATATGAACAGAGAAGGGCGATAAAAATACAGCAAAGGTATAACAGAGTCCGAGTTTAGTGAATGTGGGGGTCACACAAGTCTTAAAAAAGGTTTATCTGTCGTTCAAGTCTTATTGAGGGTCAGTCCTTTCCGATTTGTGTAATCAAACCATTTCCTCCACTGTTCTTTCAGGTATTTGTACTTGATCCTTAGGTGGTAGGTCATTTCCTCCATTGTGAAGATTTCCTCTACTATTAAAATCCATAGCGTCAGGTGTGGAGGGTCACTTTTAAACCATTTTCTGGTAATCGCTTTTTTAGCTGCCACTATCAAGATTTGAGAAGATAGATGTCTTTCCGGTGTATTCCTTCACTCTCCAGCCAGCCCAAATACATTATTCGTGGGTCCTTGGGTATCTTGTATCCTATTATTTCTTCTGTAGCCTTAACAACTTGATCTCAGTAGGTTTTTATTTTTGTACATTGCCAAAATATATGAGAGTGACTGGCATTCATCTGTCCACATTGCCTCTAACATTGTTGTTGAGTATGGAGTAATTAATTTTGTAATTGAGGTGTTATGAAGTAGCGTATTCAATTTTTACATCCACATTCCCTCCAGCCTCTGGAGCTTGTGGATGAGTGTTGTGTTTTGCACATTGAAAGCCAGTCACTCTTTGACAGCTTCACTTTTAACTCTGCTTCCCATTTGGACTTTATATATAATGAGTTATTTCCATGAACTAGAGATTTTAATGCAGAAATGCAAAAAAATAAATAAAATAAAATAAAAAAGAAGAATGTGTTTAAAAGACAAAGAAACAGCGCTAGAGCTACAAAGGAGAGGAGGATTAAAAGCACTCCTCTCTGTTGTTCCATTTGTAGATCACTAAAATAAGATTCTTGCTGATCAATATCACACTCCTAGACCTAAGTGTAATAAAATATTTTCTAAATTACATTTTTATAGCAGAAACTGTATTGTAGAAAGTAAAAAAAAAAACCCAAACATTATACTAGTAAGAATTAAGTTTTAAATATCTACAAATGTTTATTGTTCCAACATTTATCAGCTTGACTGAAATTGTATTTATGATATCTGAAAAAAAAATGTTATAGTTAAAATATTACAAATGCTGACCAGTAATATTAGGAATATGGAGATCACAAATTAATTTCTAGACATCCAGAATGTTTATTCTATATGTGGAGAATGTCATTTTGTTTGAAATGGTCATTTGGACAAAGAAAAATGTTTTTTCAGATATAAGGAATGCATATTCAGTAAAACTAGTCCATGTCAAAATGGCTTGCCATCGCTGTTGTTACCATGAAATAGAAATGTTTCTATATTACAGAATTATTTCTTAAATGTAGTATATCAATGTATTTATTTGGGTGAAATCTTCTGGCAGAAAATGACAATGAAATCTAAAAACGTTGTTCTAATATAAATAACTTGTGGATCATCTCATGTGTCTTCTTTTACACAGTAAAGTGTCTGTTTGCAGCTGTGCTTCCGATGTTATCATCCCCATATATGGCCGTTATAAGCAGCTATCAGTCCCATAGAATGGCTTCAGATTGTGCCAGTAGGCTTATTAGGTTGTTATCATCGACTGAATCCTAATCCTAACCCTAAAGTAATCTTCCTTTTCCCCTGTGGAATTAATTTATCTATTTACATGTAATCTGAAAATAATTTGAGGTGTTTTTTATGTACTGTAATATATGTCATATTAAACAAACCAAAAACAAGTAATCTCATGCCCTGACAACTGAGTTGTAGAATCCTCTCCCTATAAATATTGAAATCTCTGTGAGAAAATGCCGATCATTCTTTAATAAGATCCTCGTCAAACGGTCTTGCAATGTTTGTTTTTAAAACCTAATTTGTGTAAGGGACCTAGCGAATTATATATATATATATATTTTTTAATGCACAAAACTACGACATAAATCGGACTATATCAGGAAATAAAACAATGCAATAGGCTGTAATGAGAGCGGAGATAGAGGACACTCCATTTTTACTGAAGAAAACCTGCTACCGACCAGGTTACAGTAGCTCTGGGGAGAATGTTAGAATGGTGGCTGAAACAGAGGTTTAGTAAACTCTCATTGTTTGAACGTGAAAAGTCAGAGTTTCAGGTTTAGACAAATTATAATTTTCAGTAAACGTACTTCATGAAATGGGCCCCAGGTCAGTCGCTGATAAGAACCAGTTAGACTATAAATCATAATAATCTGATCATCAGCTGAGTTATCCAGTCTTTGTTCTTAGGAAAGAAGTATTTTCTATCAAGCTGTCAAAACACATTTCTGAACTTATCTAAATTAAACAAATGCTCACAAGCATGGGCCTCTGAGCACCTGCCTGAGTTACTTTCTAAAAGGCAGTTTCTTATACAAGGGACAAGAATGACTCCAGAGGCAAAGGCTTGGCAACAAGGTCTAACGTTAAGCTTTAACGGTCTGCTGAGACAGTAAAACAGTAATGGGAATCATGTGTTCCTTTGAGCCAGAGAGGAGAAACAGAGATGAAGCAGGAAACTGTGACGTGAAAGGCATGTTGACCTGTCTTTTCACGATGGGTGTGAGAGTAACACTGGCCCTTATGGAAGAAGGCCCACAGAGGTGGATCACTTTGAAGTGTCACAGGTCCCGCCTTAGGGTGTGTGGATTCATTTTTCCTCTATGCACCAATAGAAATTCATCCCAATAGGGTGCAATAGTGAGGAAGATAGTCATACACTTTAAAAGTCTTTTATTAGAGGCTGCAATTGAGTTTTGCCACTATGAGTTCAAACATAACGTTTTTATTTTGTTGTTTCAGAGTAGGCCCCTCATGGTTGTCAGTCTCTGCTGACCACTTTTCAAACTTCTAAGACTGAATGCATTTTAGTGTTATGTTCTATCATTTAGAAATTGGTTCTGAGATATCTTGGCATTAAATCATCGGATATTGGGGAAAAAACAGTGTTCTGAACTCCTGTTAATCTGCAAACAACATGAGACTTTAATTGTGTAATATGTGTGCGAGTCTTTGGTAAGAAAAGGAGTAGTTCTTACATTTACCAGTTTCTTTAGCATAGTCATCCAATAAAGACTTTTCTTTAGATTGGTTGATAGAACTTGTTTACTATATCACTGAAGAAACCACCACCACTTCTAATCTTTTGAAGTTCCCTTTCTGGCAACTTTTTGGGAAATATTATAAACGAGAAATGCTGACACAGCAGTAAAGAAAATACATAGATTTGTAAGCAGTGTGTATTTTTTCGCCATATTTAATAACCTTTCAGACCACTTTAGCAACTATGTTAACATAAAAGTCACTAACAATTACTTAGAC